ACCGCTTGAATCAGAACTTCTTGTAGAAGTAGAGTGGGGATTTCCATCTGTTTTAGGGTGCAGACCGCTATAACACTTGAATTTTCCAAGAATGTCACTGATTGTGAACTGGTTCACAACTGTCCCTGGACAGAAGTATCTGCATCTACACTGTTAAGGAATTATACTTCTGCCAAAGTGCCACCAGGAGATTGAGGGAGGCAAGTCCCAACCCCAGTCCCTGGCAGCCCCTCCACGCCTCCCCTTCACCCCAAATGAGCCTGGCGTCCCAGAGCACAGAGTCTCTATCAAGGAAGTTAAATTGATGTTGTTGAAAAACCACAGAGATCTTGGAGGGCAGTGGGGGGAGGACACCCTCTAGAGCATGCAGCTCCCCCGCATCCCAGGGTTACATAGCCTGCAGCACTTGGCAGGAGATCCAGAGGAAGTGCAGTGGTACCATTGCAAACCCAGTTTCAGACCATGCCATGGAGGAAGCAACAGTTGCCAAAGCAGGTAAGAATCTCTCCACCCTCCCCTCCCATTTCCCTGCCCCCTGCCTGATGTTGTAACCAGCTGATGGGGGCAGAGGGTGAGGAGCTTCAGAGCTGCTTCTGCCCTGCTCCAGCTAAGCACAATGGTGGTAGCAGTGGGCAGTTTTTTCCTTCCCTGTGCTTGCTCTCCGGTTAGCAGGGAACACCATGGGGAGACCAGGCAGAGAGGAGGAAACCACCTGTTGTTCCTGGCTGAAGCACAGCAGGAGTGACTCTGAAGCTGCCCTGCGATTGTCCCCAAATCAGCCAGGGACAGCAGCAGCAGGCAGGAGATAGGAGGAAATGGGAGGGGGAAGGGATGATGTGCTGGGGGAAGAAGGTTGAAGTTGTTATCTGATTTGGAGACTTAAAAACCATCCCTGCTTCTGCTCCTGTGGCATGGCCTGCCCGCCATGGAAGCTGGGGTGAAGCTACGAGTGGGAGTTTGGACCATAGAGTCCTGGCTATGTTGCAGAGAGCTTCTTGCATTGCATGTGTTGGGGGTATAAGGAACGGTGCAGTTTGGAATGCCTGGAGGACTCACCAGACACAAGACAGGGATTGCTTTGTGTCCTCACATAACATTGAGCCAATTCATATAGAAGTGGCTCAAAATAGTGCTTCTTTTTTCCAGTATTCTTTTGAAACATTCCAGGAAGTTTAAACAGTTCAGAGGTGTCCATGTCTAGACTCTTAGGATTTAAAGTGTATTTTCAAAGAATGGGTAACCATATAGCTAACCAGCAAGTAGTTTAGAACCACTGTGAGCTACCTATCTGCTTACTGAAACAAAATGTATCTATTTGTGCATAGGTGATGATGTCAGCTCTTTGAAAACTAAGCTGCAAAATCTCCAGTTGCCCTATTGGCAATTGGTGGCCAATAGCTTTGTTGCATTGTTGGTGAGGGAAAAAGCCATCACGTACTGATACTTTCTGTAGCAATACCATGTAAAGTTTTGATGATTATTTGATGATCCTTGTACAGAGGACAAGGATCTCTCATGCACTGAAGACTTTTTTGGAGCCAGGGCTAATACAGATTTTGAAAGATATCCTTAGATACTAGGGTGACAAGGGTCATCTAAGTATCTGGATGAATGGATGGAAGGAGGGAGGGTTATGTTATTCCAGCATCAATCTGCAATATAATGTGCAGCATTGACCATTTGTTTCTTTATTAATGTTCCACACCAACATCATTTTTCAGTCCATTTAATCAGATCACTAGCTTCCCAAATAAATCTTTTCCCCCCAAAACTGAATTAGAACAACTAAACTTTCACAAACAGCTTGTACCCTGCATTCCTTTAAGAGGTTCTAGAGGTGAAAAGCTGTTCCTGTTGATGCTTAATCTCTCAATTATTCTACTGTGAATTTGTTATAGTGGGAGTCTTTTAAATCTTATGGAATATTTGACAGTCCAGCCCTGCTCCCTGCTTTCTGTCCCCAACCCTATCAGTTTCTTATCTTTTTTTTAAACTTGTTTTTAGGAATCGGAGATCATTCCTTTTTTTCTGAAGATATGCTTAAGTTTCACCAACAGAGGTCACTAAACCACTATGTGCTAAAGGAAAAACCATTAAAAATGTTGAAAGAACACACCCAAACCACCTTTTTCATGTCTGTCTGTCTGTCTTTTAAAGAGCTCTAATTTGCCCACTCCAATACATATCATTTAGGTTAAGTAAATGGAAAAAAGAATGCAATAATGTGATTATGCATGTAGAATGTAAAGTGTTGTGTTATGGAGATATGTATTATTGATTTTATTGTAGAAAAGATACTGATACAAAATAACACCAGTATTTTGAATAGATGTTAAGTGAATTGCTTGCATAAATTTTTTGCAGGGAAACCAGATTTAAAAGGGTTTTGTTTTCACAGGATAAGTCTCCTAGAATCTATTAAATGCCATGCTCCATATTTTGTAATGTCAAGATACCGGCTGGGAGACAGAAAAGGAAGTATAAACCAGAATCCTTGAGCAATGAGATGAGGTAAGTATAAACCAGAATCCTTGAGCAATGAGATTTAAAGATTTTTTTTTAGCATACTTTAAGGGAGTGGCACTATCATGGATGCTCTGAATACAATAGCAACAAGCCAAGCTAGTGGAATTGTACTAGCAAGTCATTTTCCAACCCCTTTTTTTTTTGCAAATAATTACTCTCTACTCACTATGCAGTGTTTTAGCCATGCAGCTTGCTTTTGAGTGAAATCAGAGTTGCCCATATAAAGCCTCATGTATGATATTGAGAATATACTTTTATGTTGAATTAATCTGAGTGAGGTGTCAGCACTACCAATATTGTCCTTTTGACTTTTCTTCTTTTAATGTACTTGCAAAAGGTAAGTTGCAAAACAGGCCCCTTTTTCTCTGTAAAGGAATGGCCTGCAAAATAGATGCAGGGGGACAGTGTGGGCACTCCCCAGTTAAAATATTCAGTTGACAGCTTCCAATAATTTTACAGGTGTACTTTCAGGGTTGGGCTCTTTTGGTGTGAATGTCATCTAAATCTATTTTGTGTATGTACGGATAGCAAATTCAGTTGCCTAGTGACTAAACATACACCATCTGGATTTTCACTGATAGAAGCATCCAAGTTTAAAGACAGAACAGAACACAGGATAAATCATGTGACAAAAAAGATGGTAAGGGATGCACCTGCCTTTATCTTCTTTGTACTTAGATCAGCTGAAAGAATTTTAATGTCCTCTTTCAGTGATGGAAAAGAGGTGCCTAAAACTCCCCCATTCTAATTATCACCAAGCTATACTAAGAAAATACATTTATCTTTTTCTGTTCTGCTTTGTTCCCTGCTATTCAGTGACATTTTGAATCCAAGCTATTTAGCATCAAGGGTTTGACATGATGTCAGTGAGTGAGATATTACATACAAGGAACCAAAATAGCGGTGTTTGAACTAGCAGAAAGACTCCCAGGCAGGGAAACTTAATGGTGGCAAAAATGGTTTTACCTCTACCTCTGACCATTATTACAGGTCTTTTTGAGGTACTGGTAGTGACATTTCAACACCCATCCTTCAAACTGACTTTTATAATGGTAGACTCTTAAAAACAAGGCAGTGGGACATTTCTCATCAGTTATGAGTGCACCTAGGAAGCTGAATTTGATATTTGCTTGTGTCTCTTCTTATTGTGGGTCACTATGGGCAATCATGCTTGACTGCACATGGAGAGCAGGGAGAAAAAAAAAAATGCAACATTGCCCAGCAACTTTGAGTGAGAAGTTTGTGTGTTCCTTGGTAGTATCTGAATGAATACACCAGCCCTTCTTGTTGTTTTAAAGGCTATCAAAATAGCTGGGTGCCTAAATTTTACATTAATAGACAGGAGATAACACAGGATATAGTAGAAAGTATGTTTACCCCAATTATTAAACAGTGTCCCATAAACGAGCAGGAAAACGCTTCGTTATAGTTTAGAACATTAAACTAAGGTAGTTAAAGCTACAATTAGTGGCCAGTTCATTGCTGTACAAACCATTTAACACTACTGTGATATGATCTTGTTACATTTAAATGTCAAAACACTAAAAAGGGAGGGACTGTTTAAGCAAATATCAATACTTCAAGAGTAAGGGAAACAAGTAATGTAGACCCCACTACTATGGTTCAGCTGTAGAAGCCTCCTTTGTATGTCTGTAATAGAACTGTGTTGTTTCTCATCCGGTATAAAGTGCTATAGTTGGTGAAAGTGAATACATAAACACAGTACTTTTATGTACAAAAAAAGTTTAATTGAAATACCTGTATAAAAAATATGATCTCCATACATTTCACACTGTTAAACGGAAGAAAAAAAATCCAAATCCAAGCTGCATAGATGCAACCAGATCACAGAAACACAGCTATTAAAATAAATTAAGGTTTATGACTCTGCCACTCTACCTTCAAGAGCCAATGCACGGAGACTGTACAATGTCAATAATTTAAAACCCTTCCAAACAGCATTACTTTACATTTCTGGTATAATAATACCAGACAAAGGCATACTGACTAACTTTAAAAAAGTCATTCAATTTCCCTTAAATTAGACTTTGTACAACAATTTTCCATCTTCCAACAAAAACTGGTAAGGTCAGAAAATTATTTTTTTTTGTCTTTTTTGCATTTTTTTTTTTAAACAAAAGTTGATAGGAATGCAGAAAAAAAGTGCCATGGGCAAACTACTAGAATTCCCATGGAAGGAGGGGGAGGGGGGGCAGGGGGAAGAAGCACAGTGTTGAATAACTAACCAAATAAATTAACCAAATAAATAGCCACAGCTGAAGCTGTGAGAGGTCTTCTAAAACTTCAAACAATAAATAACTGTATAATACATGGGAAAACCAAATTTACATAAAACACATTATACAGGTATGGAAAAAATAAGTAAAGTCCTTGAATATTGCATTGATTGTGCATTTAACATGCCCATACATACTTTAAGACTCGCAGGGTGACAAAAGGCTAGGGGAGTTGAGAAAAGGGGCTTCTCATGCCCAGTGGTAGAGATGATAAAAGGAAACATGAATAAATGTTCCTGATAAAAAGCTGATATACCTGTTTGTATTTCTGTGCAGGCTATAGGAAATATTTTGAGCAGCAGAGGTGGTTGGGTTGGGGAATGGGACAGGGCAGAGGAGTGAAATGTCTGTGTTCAAGTATTCCATCACCAATGGATGGGACTACTTCATTCAATCACCGAACATGTTCCAATGCATCATAGGAGCTGCTTCCTCCAGCACTAAGTCTAAAGGGAGCAAAATCCTATAATGAACTGGATCTTCTTTGGACATACACAGCTCAAAAAAGAAAGTCCCACTGAAGCAGCTTTCAAAAAGGCACTCAAAAGCAAATAAAATCTAGTCCAGGCTCTATGAGAGCAAAAAAGTTTACCATGTAATTCAAGAGGTCACTGCTTTCTTAGTAAGGTCAGTCTTTGACTAAGTACTGGCCTGCAACTCCCAAACATCAGCGTTTCCAAAGGAAATCTTTCATTCCAAAGCAGAAACCAGCAAAAGGGGAAAATAAAATCAAGTCCCTCAGACAAAGATTCAACTACAGAATAATGAATGCATTTTATAGCCCCTCCTACGTATTGGCAGCAGCACTGTGGTCTTTCTGCTTGTAGCTCCCCTCCCATTGCGAGGTCCTTAGTGTTTCACAGACTCTCATTGCTTGAACTTGTGCTAGATACATCAGTGTCAAGGGTCCGTAGCCTTATGTCACAGTCTTCAGACTTCACTACTTCAGATTTGTGCATCCAAGGATGGTCAAAAATTTGCTCAAGTGTTGGTCTGTCTGAAGGCCTCAGTGAAAGGCACCATTTGATCAGCTGTTGACATTCTGAAACAAAAGAGATGCTAAGAGTCAGACCACAAAGCAAAAGAAAGTCTTTCTTAACTAGAAAAAATAGCCTGAGGTGAGAAGATCGAGGGCTTGCTTTTGAACTCACCAGGCGAAATTCTCCTTCTGAAGTACAACCGACCTCTCAAGATCTCTTCATCTTGTTCGAAAGGGATGTCTCCGCAGACCATGTCATACAGAAGCACTCCCAGGGACCATACGGTTGCTGACCTCCCGTGGTATCTGTGGTACCTGATCCATTCTGGAGGGCTGTACACTCGGGTTCCTACATGGTAAAAAATTAAAAAAAAAAAAAAATTAAAAAAAAGAGAAAAGAAAATTATTTACTATTAGTCCTGTGATGGGTTCCCTCTCTCTCCCCTATGCAGTAAGGGTTACAGACTAGCTAACTGGTAAGACAATCCTTAAAAGAAGAAGAAAAAAAAAAAAAAGCCTCAAGTAATAGGCCAAATAAACGTGCCAGTGGCATAAGCACAGGGAGGTGTGCGGCATCACACGGCCAACCAGCCGCTTTGGTCCCATTAGGCTGCGCTATTTTGTTGCAAGGAAGGCTGCTTTCTATCAGCTCACTGTTTACTAAGGCAAGGCTCCCTCCGGCTGACCACGTGGCGTCTGCAGCATCACACCAAAAATAGACACAAAAGGACAAAGGGGGCGGCTGGGAGGAGAGCGGAGAGGGCGGAGGCGCAGCTCGGGGCTGCCGGCTGCGGAGAAGAGCGGCT